TCTTATAAATACATAAATAAACATCATTGATTATTTCATCGAGATACTAATAGTTTTTTATTACTTCATATCATTTTTTTGGAATATGTTTATAAATTAATATTTTTAATTAGTAAAATTCATGCAAGTATGCATTTTTTACTATAAAATGAAATTACAAAATGATTTATATTACATAAATAAGTACATGTTAAAAACAAAAGTTAGTAATGAAAAAAAATATATATATTTACTTTATTTCAAGTAACAAAAACTTTATAACAATTTGGTTTCAAATCAAAATAACGAATTTAAATTTTCAACAGCAAATAGATGAAAAATAGTAGTTTGAATGAGTTTGGCAATGATCAATTGCCTAAAAAATTTATAAAATTGAAGATAAAAATCCACCACTAAAAAAGCTTTAAAAAGCTCTAGAAAAAACATAAAATAGAGAAGAAGGAAAGTATAAGATCCGATTTGATTGTAATAGAAGATAATCTTTATAGTTGAAAAAAATTAAAAAAAAGAAAAATATAAAAAAATGAAAATGAAGACTTAACACTAAAAGACTTAAAAGAAAACTTCTAAAAAGAATCAAAATAAAGAAAGATTAAATATATATTTTTATTGAAATTTTAATTTTAATTTTTTGTTATATTTATTTTTTAAACTTAAATTTACATTTTTAATTTAATTTAGTATAATGATAATTATTTCAATTTTATTATTATAAAATATCAAAATTATTATATTATATTATAATTATAATTTGGTTAACAATTACGTGCATAGCACATAGAATAAAATTAGTGTATATATATATATATATATATATATATATATGAATTTAATTTCAAGATAACTAATCAAGCTTAAAGTTAAGCATGAGAATTGAACTTTTTTTTTTATTTTATAAATGAACCTAATTGAATGAGTTTGAATAGCTCAACTTTTATCTCAAGTCAAGCTCAAATTTAAAATTTAAAACTCAATCAAACTTGAACTGAATTTCCAAAAACCAAGTGTCTTCTCCTTTGAAACTTAGAAAGACGTCATGCTTCCATTTGAAGCCAGAAGATGATGCTTCAAAGAAACCTTTGGCAGCCATGGAAAGTCAAACAAAAAAAATGCAATGGAGAAAATGGTTTTTGGAAATTTAGTACATCCATACGAGAACTAAAATATAAGGGTCGTTACTAATCCTTACTATTCAAATTAATGTATTTTTTATTGGAATCGTTACTATCACTAGGAACCTCCAGGAAAATGCTTCATTAAATCATTGTCTGATCCAAAAAATTCATAGGCTGAATGGAAATTACTGGGAAATGACTTGAAGGAGTAGTGAGCGCGTAGTGATGTAGACTTCAATAATATCTTTTTAATTCAACATGCTCTCATCCTTCACATTTTATTAATTTAACTTAAATCATTATATATATAGTAAAGTGATCGAAATGCATTCACAATGTACATAAAAATATAGAATTTTGGGATTTTAATTATCTAAATCTGTTGACTGGCTCATGTTTGTACTATTCTTTAGGAACATATTTGTTTAATGAGATGAAAATATTATCAAGGTTTTTAGAAACTTTGGACATTCGAATTACAAATCTATGCTCTAAGGTGTCTGTATTATATGGTAAAATCATTGTGAAAAATTAAGTTTCGTGATAAATGATTTTGCCTTTTGTTATTTGTTTTGAATATTTCTATTCAAATTTTTTTTTTCTCAATTTCATTCTTTTTTGCAAAAAACACAACAAAAAGTAAAAGTGACCTAATTGATATACTATTCTTATTTATTATATTTTATTTTGGACTGTTGCCCTCTCTATGAAACTCCCCTAGAAGATGTTATCCCAAAATCACCAAATGATTTAAACAAATCAAAGAAATTCATTGGAGGGATGGAAATTGAAAACAACTTTAAGATCTTTTTAATTGAGTAATGATCTTACATAGTGGAGTCTATAGGATAATTATTCAATTTTATCGTTCACAATTAAAAATTAGAAGCAGTGTGAATAGCTAATCAAATAAATTTTCAAGCCAAATGAGGCTAATATCAAATTTGAGCTAAATGTTCAATTTGGGATTAAAGGTTTGAGTAGTTGCTCAATTAAGGATCTCAGTTTTAATTTGGTTTAATGTAGGATATTACATTTTCAAATTTGTTCAAATAAAGACTAAGTTACGACTGTGCCTTACATGCATTGTTAAGTCTATTATCTATTAATGTTTTCCATTAAACCCATTAACTCTAATGAACAAAATACAAAAATTGAACACAATAAGAATTGATGATCAATAGGGAGGCAAAGAGCAAAATTAAGCACAACAATTAGCCTCAAACAATCAAGCAAGGGAGGCTAGATAGTAGCAATTTACAATCAAAAGTCATTGAAATGCGAGAAAATTGGGCAAAGTTTTTGAATCCTTGAAGGGAAGAAAAAATACATAGTAAATCCATTCTTCTAAGAAGTTTTTTGGGCTAAGAGAAATTTTTTTGTTAGACAATCAACAAAGCAAATTCATCAGCAAGATCAACAATCAGCAACTAACCTCAAATAAGTAATTGATCCAATAAAGGCGTTCCAATACAAAGAAGCAACCATAATAGCAAGATTCTAGAATTCATCAGCAAAGGTTTTTTCTGGGTTTGATTCTTTTTGGGAATTTCTCAGCAAAACATTTTTCTTGGTTTGATTTTTTTGAGACTATCTGGGATTTAAAATAGAGTTAGAAAAGGGAGGAAGTGTTGATCGATTGGTAACACAATAAACTGTGAATGGCATCAGATTCTGGCGATGAGATTCCGTGATTCTTGAGCTCTTCATTTTCTAGGTTGTTGTTGGGTTTTGACTTAGGGAGTTAGAGAGAAAAAGGGGTTGAACCAAAAATTTTGGTTTCAACCACGAAGAAGCTATGCTGCTGGTGAAGGATAAAGATCGAAGGTGGTCATTGGCAATAAGATCGATGGAGAAAAAGGTTGATTTTTGAGGATTTGATTTTCGGTTAGAAAGAATAAGAAAACAGGGCTTGCTTGAGAAGAGAAACCGAAGAAGAAACAATTTTTGGCTATTTTTACTATTCATTATATTGAAAAATAGTGATTCACGCTTTTTCTAGCGCGTGTAAATCACAACCATAATAAAGGCCTTTTTTGAACAAATTTGAAAATAGTACATCCTGTTGGGGAACACCAAAGCTCTGAAACCATTTATTGGGCTAAAAGCCTCCAATCCAATCACGTCAGCAGAAGCAAAATCAAATAATAAATTAAACACACAAGAGACAACAATTTAACGTGATTCGGTCCAATCAACCTACGTCCACGGATGAGAAACAAGATCCACTAGTTGTAGAGAATTACAAACATACATCAAATCATCAACCTCACTCAACAATCAATACTCATAAGACACTCTCAATCTTCTCTAGTCCTATGGAGTATTCTCAACTCAAACAAATACAAACCCAAACCCTTGTGCACCCTTTTAACATAACCAAACACATACCCATATGCTCCCATACATCATACCTATGTGAACCCTCTCAGTCTCCTCTAGTCCACTCACAAACAAACATACACACTCATAAGATGTAGAGTCCCAATACTCCTATGAGGTATCTATCCCGCAAAACCCTATAACTCTTTTACATTTTTTTTTCATACCTAACCCTGTAGAGACTTCACCTATTTATAACCATACAAACTTGCCCATTAAAAATCCATCTCCTCTTAGAATTCTTCTTCTGTAAGTCAAACTTGCCTAATAAGAATCTCTTTTCTTTTAGAATTTTTCTCTTGCAAGTTAAACTTACCTATTAAGAATTCTCTCTCTTAGAATTCTTCTTTTGCAAGTCTTCTTGTCCATCAAGTAATATCTGACAAATCTCAAACAAATCTCTTATGAGATTTGAGTCAATATTCCCAACACATCCTATATTGAACCAAATTAAAGTTAAGATCTTTAATTGAAAATCACGTAAACATCCTATATTTTTTTGCCTAATTAAATTCAGAATCCATTGACAAGTAATGCATATAAAACAACAAATTCCACCGCTATAATAATGGTATTCAAGTATGATTTTTAATTACCGTTAAAATTATTATAATGGAATGGATATATATTGGTTGTACATGAGTATTAATTTGAAGATGACCTATTGTATTTTTGCACTTATTGAAATATTTGGGTCCATAAAGATGAACATAGTGCAGCTAATTAAACTCAAAGTAAAGATATCAAGCACATAAAAGAACGTGTTATTCATAAATAAAAGTCTATATCCACGAATAGAGAGAATATTTCATTTTAATCAAAGAAGTAACAATATCCTACAAGATTAAAGTTTAACCACCGAGTTCGTTGTTTGATACGCTGGCAACATATTTTTTAATTTTACAAATAAGATTAAAAATTAGCTATTGACCTTTTCTTCTGACAGGCCACCGCTCGAGAGAAAATAGACTCATAATCAGACCCAATGCAAGCATGTAGATGTCGAAGGGCCCAAGGCGGCCGCGATCGATACCTGAACAGACAGATCCCTATCGGAGCCTTGGATTACACTTTGGCACATGCCAAGAGATTTTTGTATTCGGAAATTGAACTTTAATCGTCTTTCAGTTTGTCCTCATTCGCAAAAATATTTTCTCGTCACTTTAGGGAATGCTACAAACAAGTCAACTTTGGGGGGCTGGAGATTGTGCTATACACTTTTACTTTAGTTTGATTTGGGTTTAATTATATTAAATAATTTTAGATAAAATACGATAATATAATGTAAATATTATATAAAAATAAAATGATTTAAAATTTTAAAAAAAATTATGAGTTTGATCAAAATAAAAAATATATTTCATGTTTGACTTATAACAAATTATGATAATATATTTTTTATATTTTATACATATTTAATATAAAATAAATATGATATAAAAACATAAATGATCATATTTAAGTTTAATACAGACCACCAAAATGCATTTGTTTTGAATCAGGCTTACAATAGAATTTTGTCCTTTTTCATCCTCCTGGTTTACATTGACCATTGGAACCTAAAAATGACTCCACATTGCTGGCTCAAGGCTAGCACAAATGGTGGCAGCTCTGTGAGAATTACCTGGGAAAAAAATAGTGACCATCTATTTCCATTCAGGTGGTCAATGAATACAACCAGCCAAAATGGAATCAAAAGCTGACCTTCTTGTCAATGAATCCCCTGGAGGCTCCAAGCAGAACACTGAGCTTTGAAGCAGCTTCATCAGATTAATTGGATCATCGCATTTATGCCCAATGGAACCACAGTCTAGTAAATTGCATAAGTTGTTTGATGGCTGGCATTGGCTGATAATCTCATCCTTGTTTAGCCTTTCTGTCTGGATTTGGCCACCAGCAAAAGAGAATAAGAAAGGTAGGTTTTGGATTCTCATGAGTTTCTGCCATTGAAAAACATCATTATCTGTTGAAGGATGGAAGTATGTGGGTTATGGTACAGCAAAGTCATTTTTCCAGGATCCTGATTCAATTGTTAACATTGACATGTTCTCATATTCTGTCAGGAACCTGAAGTTGCTACCCCAATCAGACTTCCCGTTTGATTGTCTCCTGAAATCTCGATCTATCCTCCCTGAAATCAAGAAATGATCATTACCCCACATTCTTTTCCGTTCAGGTTTTCCTGCAAGCCATTTAACCAAATCGAGACCAGATGAATCTCTTATAGAGGTATTGAATCCCCATAGATTGCGAAGGTGGAGGCCAGCATAATATGGCACGAAAACAGCAGAGGCGAGTGTCAAATCATTGGTTAAGCACTTGTATTTCTTCATTCTGTTACGAAAAATAACCTCAAGTAAGATTTGGTTTGTTGAAAACCAATTGCTATTCCATAAATCCAAAGCATGGGAACTTTCAATCTGAGAACCTAAACCTGAGTTTTGTATATATGAACACATGCTGGATTTATCAGTAGCCCTAGTAATCAGCTGACAATCTTTGAGCATATCTTCATTGAATTTTTAAGGAAAATCATAAACATAAATGTATCGACCCAAGCACATATTCATTGAATTTTAAACCAACAAAACTAGAAATCTTCTTCTTTGAATTGTCTAATGGAGTTTTAGTATCAATTGAATTTCTAGCAAAATTAATTGACTGATACTTTGTGCTATCACTGCTAGAGAAATAAACGAACTTGTCTTCAGCTGCTTGGTCTAGTGGCTAAGACAATCTCAAAGAAGACATCAAGGCTGAGGTTCGAATCCCAGCTTTCTCCCCTCCCCTTAATGTAGGGCTCTGCCCTCCTTGAATGACCAAAAAAAAAAAGAAATAAATGAACTCATCAATCTTCCCAAAGGGAAACAGACGAAGAAAGAGCAATAAAAGGAATAAGACAATGGAACTGTTAGGGGCATTTTAGTGTCCAAAAGATAAAATAGACATTTCCTTCCAAAGTATAAGCCATCTGGCAAATGAGGTTATTTTGATCATTTCGACCGAGCTAACATGTTGGGTCAATCTAAAATCTCGAGGTCCACATCAACACAGTTATTTTAGTAACCAACTAGCTAGTGTCCTAGGTTGTTGACTTGCATGCCTTGAGTGAACAGTTAATTAACAGCTCAGCTCGGCCTATAAAATTAGCCTTAGTCTCCTACGCTAACCTTGGTTTATCTAGGCCCAAGTTCCCCCCATCACACAGGTATAAATAGCTTCACCTACACATTTCTAAACATACTAAACTCTTAGCTTTTAAGCCTTTATTCCCCTTCCTTTTCCTAGACCAAACTCTGACTTAAGCGGAGCACAAATGCCAGAATCACTCTTGGCCTTTATTGTTCACTGATCTCTCTTTTTTATATTTTAACGGTTTTACCCCTCTCAAGCAGCTTGGCACAAATATTTTGACATGCGAAGTGGGGGGCATTCCTATCTAGTCGAGCTAAAATGCCATCAAGAAAGTATAGTAAATCAATAATAACCTAATTATCAATTATTGAAAAATTTTTTATACTTAAAGTTGTTAGAAATTGAACCTTCTTAACCAATAAAAATGAAAGTAGAAATTTCATCTTGAAAAATTAAGATAAACCTAGCACGAACCTATTTAATAAAAAATTAATAACAAAATTTTAAATTTGAATCAAACAATATTGTTATTATATAAAAAAATTACCTTATATTAGAATTGGATTTACACTTTCTTACCATAATGTATTGTTAAATATATGATAACAGAAATTTTATTAATGATTACTAAAAATATATTATAAGTTATCCGAAGGTTAATTACTAAAATTACATCAAGAGATTATCAAAATTTTATTAATAGTTATCAAAATTATATTATAAGTTGCCAAACTAATATTAAAGGTTACCAAAATTCTGTTAGAGGTTGCAAAATTTTATCCAAAGTTATGAAAATCAAAATTATATAAAAAATTATCAAAATTTACTTATATTATATTAAAATAAAAATTAAATTATTATTATTTATCATTATTATCGTTAAAATTGAATTTTTTTTTTACAAACTATTTCACTTAAAATAATTTTTTATAATTTTTATATTTTTTTGCAAACAATATTTCAAAATTCTTTAATTTTTTACTATATAATTGTCGACTTTATTAGTGCATATTTCATATTTTTTTAGCCAAAACTTAAAATTTAAAATTAATAAAATTTACTATATGAAATTATGGAAACCATAAAATTATTGCTTAGTGGTAATAATATGGTCAATGATTGATAGTGGCAAGTTTGAATATTTCAAATAAAAGGTGCTATACATATTAGGTGGTAATGAATATTGTAATTGTCTAAAATCATGCTATAAAGAAAAATTTATACTCATTTGCAAAGATTTAAATTATGAATTTAATGCAAAAAAAAAAAATCAATAACTAAATAAAAACATATAATTATATATTTTTATTCTAAATTACGGAGAAAAATTAAGTAGATTTTTTGGTTTTATATATTTTCAATATCTTATAGGGTGCATATAATTATATTGTTGCATCAATTATTACCTTATTTTATTTGTTTTATTGTATTTGATAAACATTTTAAAAACGATAAACTAATAAATAGTGGTTGATTTTTTAACCAAAAAAATGTCAACAAACATGGTTTCATGTATAATAATAACTTATGAGTATCTTATCAAACAATACTATTAACCTTAAACATAATCACATATTTATAGAAATTAAAAAATTCTTACATTAATTTATCAAAATAAAAATGTTAATGAACAACTTTACTGAAATAAATTTGAGTTTAAAAACCTAACAATTCACCTAAAAAACTGAGATTCAAGGTCCAAACCTCAGTTCATTCTTCTTACCTCCATATATAAGAAAACAGATGACAGATGTTGAATTGGAAGCTACTGAGACCACAAATGTAGAATTGGAGGCCGAAGCATAAACCATGAAATTAAAAGGAAACTAACCCTTTACAAAAGTGTGCTTACTTTTGTGCTTACTTTGTATGGAACGAAACAGGTCTTTTTACTTTTGTGCACTTTCCAACTTTTTGTCATTTAGATTGTTGCTTTTCGTGCTCAACGATCTTCTTTGTTCTGCATTAATATTGGAATAGTTCAATTTTGTCTGGGTAGTTGGCTGACAAGGAATTGGTTATTAGCTACGTTATTAGAAATTTTACTAGTTTAATTTAAATATATTAAATTTAAAATAAAATAAGAATAAGATAATACTAGTTAAAATTAAAACCTTCATATTCACTCATAATTGTTAAAAATTTTACAATTATTTTTGACGTGCTTTCATATTTTTAAAATATTTGAATAATAATTCTGATATCAATATTTTGAACATATTTGTTTTCAATATATATAGTTAAACTATCATGATATTGACAACTAAAAAAATTAATATCGGTCTCAACAATAAACAAAATAAATCAATTAAGGCTCTTCAAACCCCATCTATCATGAATTGGCAGATGAATACCACATTTCTTCACAAGAATTCCACCACGCGGCTCAATTGAAACTTCAGTTTCATCTCCTTCTTCAGCGTTTGCACCATCGGTAAAGTTGTTTTCACCGTCGGTAACAAAACTAGGTGCCATGTAAGACACCCACGCATGATCTTGACATATATTACCATCAAAGGAATTGTCTGACCTGTCAAAAGTCTCACAGCCCTTTGTTTTATTCTTAAAATATATGGTAAGAGAAGCTTCAGAAGTACTTTCGTCATTACATTCTTCATTCACCGAATAGATTGCGCACACAATCATAGCTCGACCTAAACCAATCGGGATTGAAGGCATACAAAACAGTATTGAAGATCCAATTTCTTTGTAGTCGAACCAATTTGGCAGCTCTCTTGCTGGCAAGTAAGCTTCCAAAAACTTCAACTTGGAATACAACGACTTCTGTTTCAAAGAAATGCTAGTAGTTATGAACATTATCATGCATGATAATATATATTATATGTATACAGAGAGAGATAGAGAAAGACCTCTGGCTGGCTAGGATCTCGTCCAAGGGGCCAACAAGAAGACAATTTATGAAAAAAGCGAAAATCCAAAACTTGAATGTCTGCTACTTTGCAAGAATTACTAATTGCGATTCTAAGAAGTTTTCCACCTATGTTTGATAAGTTTGGGTATCTCTCAAGTGATGTGCATTGCTTTGCGTATACGTCCCTTAAATTTTTAGGAAGCTCTGTAATGGATCGAAGGTTTTTGCAGTTATTCAACTCAAGTGTCTCTAACCTTGGATGGTTGCTGATTCCTGCGGGTAGGTTAGAGAAGTTGTTTCCCCCTAAATTCAAACTACACAAAAAATGGAAACTCCCAAAGTCAATGGAAATTTCATGGTCAGACAAGTTGAGGTCACAAAGATTAACCTTTCCTAATGAGCTTAACTGAGAGAACGTTGCTGGTAGCAGCGAAGAAGAAGAACCCACACTACTTTTTGGAGAGATCCATGAGGAAAAGAAAGAGAAACAAGACTTCAAAGGTAACTCTTCTCTCAGTCCAGCTAAAGATAGATCTTCAAGTTTCTTCAAAAGTCCGATCGAAGTAGGCAACTCTGTAATAGCAGATCCACTTAAAACAAGCTTTCTCAAAGCTTCCAATTTACCCAAATGCTCTGGCAAACTACAAAGTTTTGAGCAGCCATTGAGGTTCACTGTCTCAAGAGACCTTAAGTTGCAAATGCTGTCTGGAAGTTCACTTATGTTCTTGCACTCTGCCAAATTCAAGAATTCAAGTTTTTCCAGATGTCCAATAGATTGATCAACCCCAACTAAACCTGTGCAACCTTGAAGTTCAAGTCTTTGTAGGCTTGAGAGTCTTGCAAAGTTTGGTGTCTCTCCAAGGTATACCGAATAACTCAGATCTAGTATTTTAAGCTTGTAAAGAGCCTGTTAAAACAAGGAAAAGAAAACAACAACAAATCCATAATATCCTCTAAGAAAAAAAAATCTAGAATATCAAAATGAAAAGAAAGCACATAGCATTGTGAGAGTGATTTTAATTACTTTTGTCTCCTTCCAAACTTTTTTGATACTACTGTGTCGCATTTCAAGAGCAACTAAGTTGTCTAGATGAAGGTTGGGCGGCAAAACCATTAGTGGACATCGACGCCACCAGAGCCATCTTAACTTTCTAGAAAATTTTTCATAGGAACCAGTGAAACGTACAGAATCGATTTTCAGCAATCTTAAGTTGATCATCTTTGCAAATGCTTCGGTGCTTATAGGGTCATCTTCTAGTGCTGGTACATCTAAGCTGAGACCTTCCACTGCTTCCATCCCCTAAATACAAATAAAAAATATTATTAATTCTACTTAAGTATAGCATATAGTGCATTTTTATATCTATTTACGAAATGCATTTAACTTTTTACCATATGTTTCGTTAATACATCTACAACATCCTGATGAAACCAAAGCCTGCTTCGATATCCAGGGTGAGATGGTGATACTTCACGAACAATCTCTCTTCCCATGTCTCGGAGTAGGTTATGCATTTGTAGCTTTTGATCATGTGGGTCATTTGCTATGAGAGACCTTTCAAGAAGGACTTTAATCCCAATTTTTGGGAAGAATCCACAACCAT